ACCCGGTGGTCCGTGGACCACTAGCAGGGCCTTTATCCGGTGGTCCGTGGGGCACTAGCAGGGCCTTTATCCGGTGGTCCGTGGGCCACTAGCAGGGCCTTTATCCGGTGGTCCGTGGGCCACTAGCAGGGCCTTTATCCGGTGATCCGTGGGCCACTAGCAGGGCCTTTACCCGGTGGTCCATGGGCCACTAGCAGGGCTTTTACCTGGTGGTCCGTGGGCCACTAGCAGGGTCCATAACCGGTGGTCCGTGGACCTCAAATAGGACCGTGGATACCGAGTCTTCTGGAATTCTTTGAGAACGAAAGGAATTTTCTATCTCCTTGATTTGATGTTTATATCCCTGCTGTTGCTTTGTCTTCGTTCTTTGTTATATTACAGTACAAATTGTGTCAAGAATATACTTTTATGTCAAAATCTGGCATTAAGGTTGTGTTTCATTCTCATTTTTTTTTACAATTTTAAATGGCTTATTGTCTCCTTGACTTGGCGCCTTCTTTTGAAAATTACTTACTTACACTTTTAAAGCTTTTCACATTGTGTACTTTATTTTGAATTTTTAGGTTTCTAAGGTTACATGGTTTAAGCTGTATGTTGCGAAAGTGTGCTGGGAAAGTGCTGGAAATGTCGTTTAAGGAATAGTTATCGAAGATTTCTTGATTATCGAAGGTTATCCACGGGAGACATCTCCCGTCACGCAGGGTGCAGTCGCACCTCCACAGATCTCCAGTATCATCTATTGATACTGGAAATGGCTCAAAAGGGCCACCACTTATGGGCTATTCATGCCCATGCCACCTTTTGGGTGGCTTAATCTTCTCTCTCTCTCTCTCTCGAAGGTTATCGAAGCACTCAGGCCGAAGACAGCCCGTCACCTGCTCGACTTCTCTTCGTTCTCCTTACAGAGGCTAAACAGGTTTTGCAAGATGATATTCAATAGACGGCATGCAATAAACTTTTTTATGAAGACTGACCGTCCCCAGAGGTTATTGCCGTCCATGACTGTCAGTCTCGCGAACTGACATTACGGTTTTAAGGGAAGAGGGTTAATGATAAAATTTTTATACCATATGCATCATTAATAGCCGGTCGGCCGAGCGGACAGCACGCTGGACTTGTGATCCTGTGGTCCTGGGTTCGATCCCAGGCGCCGGCGAGAAACAATGGACAGAGTTTCTTTCACCCTATGCCCCTGTTACCTAGCAGTAAAATAGGTACTTGGGTGTTAGTCAGCTGTCACGGGCTGCTTCCTGGGGGTGGAGGCCTGGTCGAGGACCGGGCCGCGGGGACACTAAAAAGCTCCGAAATCAACTCAAGATAACCTCAAGAATATCACAACAAAGATCATAGAATCAAAACAAATCAAATCAAATGTTTATTTAGGTAAGGTACATACATACAAGAGATTTTACAAAGAGTGATGGATTTATAGATAGGGCTAGTACATACAATGCCTAAAGCCACTATTACGCAAAGCGTTTCGGGCATTATTCAGAAAGTTCTACGTAACACAAGGTGGTTCATCATGTATAGAGACTCGCAATCTGGCACAAAATACTAGTAAATTTAGGATTCACTATATCAGGATGATATCTCCAAGAGCCTATAGGTTAGATGAGGTAATTGTAGAGCTCCGGGTTGCTCATTCAAATTGACTTGACGGATTTAACGATTGTAACTGATATTTTCAGTGTGTACTTTAAAATAACGTAATCCTGGGCAGTTAGGCACCTTGTAAGAAACCGCAGATTATCATCGTCATCCTAATTATTATTTTTCTCTTCCATCTTCGAAATGTAATAATATTCTTTTAATTAATTTCTTGGTAATATGTTAAGGGTAGCTGGCAGATTTGAAGTATATGACGTCACAGGGCAGGTCGTCAATCCCCGACCGTCTTAAGTGATTGGGCACCATTCCTTACCCTCGTCTCATCTCAAACCCTTACTGACTGTGACAGAAAGTGTGACATCAATGATTCTAGCACGAACCCTCTATTTTTCTTATGTTTTCTTCAATTGTGAAGGAAGTTGAAAAATTAGCTTTGTAAAATTAAGTTTACAGATTTATCATGGCCTGACGCTCAGAAATGCGTTTCGATGAGTCTTGTCAATGAACAAATCGACATGGGCCTTGACGAGGGTTCGAATCTACGTCCGAGAGCATCCCAGACGCTGCCTTATGCCTTTTTGATGCATCACGCTATTGTGATTTCTGTGTGTAATGAAGTTAGAGTCTTGTCAATATTTTCAACGGCAGATTACAAGTGGATACAAGTTGAGAGCAGCCGAATATATAACCAATAATTCCATATTGTTGTTGTTTAAGATTCGCTATCCGGAACAAAAAGTTCCAAGTAGCACGGGCTATGGTGAGCCCGTACTCAATAGTTCCACTGCAGCTTTCACTGATGGCGGTGGAGGGAGCTGTATTTAAGCCAGCCTCCGGCGGGAGACTTCCCTGCCTCAGGTGAGGCTCGCTGGTGACTGGCTGAGCCCTGGGCAGGGTCGTCGCCGCCGCTCCAAGGGCAGTGCTCCCCCGGGGCGGGCTAACGTGAACAAAACAACAAAAGTGGATTGATTTAATAAACTCCCCGCCTCCAGCGGCTAGTTTATTGTGCACCCCATACTCATCCTGTGAGCGGTAGCGCAAAAAGCATTACAGAGGGCACAAAAGGTCTTTATCAGACCTCATCTTAGATTATTACATAAACAATTTCATCTATCCTTCACACCTTATAGTTACAATGTCAGCTAGTTACAGAGAAAGTGCTATTTCAGGAGCTATATATTTACAGTAAGTCATTATACATTAAAGGTAGGTGTTATCGCCAATACATAATAGTTTGACCAATGGAGATAATGTCATAGGGTAGTTTCTGTTTATTATTAGTCTTCACAATACACTACTTGTTTCTTAAGCTCATATGTCGTTTATCTACTGGAAGCGAAATGTGGATACAGTGCAAGGATTTCAGGTAATTTATCCATGGTAATAAGATAGGTTGCCATATCATACAGAGTGAGCTTAGATTTATCTCTAAACGGCTCAATTTTACTACAATCCAAGTGTTCGAGTGTGTGTCCCTGTCTTTGTCCATACACTTTACTTCATCTAGATCCCTATACAAGCCGAACTGCCAGAGATACTTGTAGCCAAGTCTTATACGAGCTGTGACAACATCTGTTAGTCTACTTACTTTGTTACTTGCCCCATACACATGTTTTACTTCACACATTTCATTGTGATGAACAATGGACCTGCTAGTTCCAGTTTGCACTGTTCTACTTTCTTCAAATCCATCCAGGAGTTCTCGTCTAATGACACTTTTAAGGGACCTATTTGATAACTCAAGATTCCGTTCAATACTGTATTTACTGCAGCCTTAGCAAGGGCGTCAACTTTGTCATGTTCCTGCAGGCCAATGTGAGAAGGAATCCACAACATTTTTATATTTACCCTCTTGCTAAGTATTCCTATATATCTACGTCTAGCTTCCAAGACAACCACGTTATTACTTGATTACAAACTTTTTATTGTTAGTAGTGAGGAAAGGGAGTCGGAAATAATTAAGCTGTCTACTTCAGTGTTGTTAATAATTTCGAGTGCTACCAGTATTGCTACCAACTCTGCTTGCATTGTGGATGCCCAGTTACTAATTCTGATATTCCTTTGAATACAGAAGACCCTGGATCCGGAACGTCGGGTCCCACTACTGGAGGCGAACCTCTCACCAATTCCTCCCAGACAAATCACTGCCGGGAAAACGATATATGTGACTAGGCTGAACCTGCTTGTTAGCGGGCCAGGTTCCCGACACCATAGTGCGGCAAAATAAACGAAGAAAACCATACTCTGAAAGGGACGACAGCTCTACTCATCAAGACCCGAGGCTGGAGAAGTGTCTGCTGAACTCTGTGGAAGAGCAGAACTCCATAGTGAGGAGTGAACTTCAAGCAGTATAAAGGAGCGGTGAAGAGGAGTTTCACGTCATGCAGGGTACATTCGCACCTCCACATATCTCCAGTATCAGCTCTTGATACTGGTAATGGCTCAAAAGGCCCACCACTTACGGGCTATTCATGCCCGTGCCACCTTTTGGGTGGCTTAATCTTCATCAATCAATCAAGTTTCACGTGTCTCCGTGGAATCAGTGGTGAAGCATCACTGGTGTTTGAAGAGGACTTCATTGTGCAGCAGTTTTGGGAGAACTGCAGAAGTGTTTTGTTGACTATTTTGGAGAACCTAGAGATGTACATGGTAGTGAACCTCCAGGAGCAGAACAGAGGTTTATGGAGGATACACAGGAATGAATAAGAGGAGTGCTTGAACGCTTATTGTCGTGCAAGATGCCGTGTAAGGTGAGAGATTAATGTCTTCTTGTGTTGGGGAATATTTATGCAAATGTTTCTGGTGTTTCAGCCACAAGCTGAGTTTTATGTACTTTTAGGGCTGAGTGTATAATATTGTTGTGACGAGATTTCAACCTCATTTGGTGGGGGAGTGGTAAGTGGTAAGCCAAGAGTTGGGCAGCCACTTGATATGGACAGTTGGTGAAGTCAGGATATGGTATTGGATTGCTACCGGGTTGTGGCAGCTTAGAGTGTTGTCCGATAATTTTCTATTTTTCTTATATCATGTATTGTGTATTTTTTTTCATTTATTAACTGTGTAGAGCTGGCTTTTGCTCTTGTCCTTGTGAGGCTTCCCAGAAAGCAGAAGAGAGGGAGAGAAAGAGAAAGGATCACAGCTGCGGACAGGGTGGCAGAGAGTACTAATTCGTAAAAGGGGAATTTAGGAAGTCATTTCAAACAAAGAGAGAGTGGGGAGTCACGGCGGCTCAAGTAGGGTAAGTACACAAGGCAACGAAGCCAGTGTTGGAGCCGCACCCCTAAATATGTGATGCTGAACCCCTCTCCAAGATCAAGAGGCATACAGGTTGATCTCCTGAGTATATTTCAAGCACTCCTGAGTAAATTTCAACTAAATTTAAAGTTCATTATTGGTCGACCGACGGTAGCGGGAGTGTGGCTACCGAGGTCGGTTGTCTGTTCCGGTAGATCGTGGTTGGGGGGATGTTGTACACCTGTACGCAAGTAACAGCCTGGTACAATAACCAGAGTTCTCTTTGGAGGTATAAGTTCCATAAGCCCCAACTCCCTCAGGCCAGAACAGCATATACAATGTCAATGTTACATTACAAAAATGAAACATTAAAACAGAAACTTAACCAAACGTTCTATTTCGCAATTTACTTTAACGTTAAGCCTAGTAATTTGTAAATACATGACGAACTAAGCAAATAGTTCAAGGTAATGAAACAAAATAATAATGCTTGCATAAATATAATCACGTAAAAACATTAATATTTAAATGTACCTTTTTCACAATTATAAACAAGTAAACAAAAACAAACTTCCTATAACAACTCTTTTTATAAACATTCAGGTCTATAATTTATATTAAATGCTAAAATAGACATCTATATATATCATTCATAATTGTGAACCCTTGCCAAATGACAAGTTTTTGACAATTAGAAATAAAATACTAGTTATGAAATACTTAAACGTTACGAGGATTTTTAATGCAAATAACAATGCCATGGTGATTTGTGAGTGAGGGGGGTGGGGGAAGGGGGGTACACAGTTGTTGGTTGTAGAGTTGAATTGCGTAGAGTTGTTGTGTGTGGGGGGGGGGGGATACAGCTTGTGGAGTTTTGAGGGAATCTTGTAGAGTTGTGGGGTACTGAATAGGATCACGGAGGGTTGTGGGGTGCTGAGTGGGGAAGGTTGTAGGGTGCCCAAAGGGATCAGGGAGGGTTGTGGGATCATGCCTAGCTGATATCACACATGATTTAAAGCGTTGAATATCAAGTATAAGAGTAATAAGATATCAAATTGTAGCTGTGTATTACTGATTGATATCAAGGTGGGTAGTGATCAGAAGGTACTAAGCCAGTATAACTATACAGCAGTTGGAAAATATATGACGCCATTATATAAAAGGGTGTCAGAAGGGAAGGGAATTATCTTGGGAGAAAGAGCCAAGCCAAATAACAAAGCTAAAACTACTTGCTGGTGTCTAGTGACGGGCGTCAAAGCCTTGAATATCGTCATAAGAGGTGTCAACAGGGTTCAAATTCGAGTATATTGGGATAATAATATACGCCTATCGGATGCAGCATCTTAGGCTATTACTACCCTCACATCAACAGTGGTGTTAGTTGAGAAGCGTCGTCCTTATCTGTTAACACAACTCATTATCTGAAAGGAAACCAAAATACACGTAAATTTGATATAAAAAATTAACTAAAATCAAATGCACATGTATATGTTAACACTAGGATGAAGTACAATTAATTATTGTACAGTCATATCTAGAAACTTGAAGAAACAATACTTCTATATGGAGAAAACACGCAAAATATATTCTTGTAAACTAGTGGCTTATTTCAACAGTCTTTAAATATTTGCTACGCATATGTACACCGAGATATATACCACTTTTTGGTGTACATAGACTTAAGAGTTTACTTTAGTTTACTTTAGTCCAGGACTATTTTCAGAATTAATTATACTAACAATTAAGTAGGCTATGGTTATTGTCTTTAATAATCCTTTAAACGTAGGGTTGGCCTTAAGCCAATCACCAAACCAATATATGTGTGCATGGAGTAGCATCTGTTGTATATATGTCACATGTTTTATATACATGTCACGTGTTATATTTGGTATATCTAACGAATATAACACCTAGAGAGCCCTGGAGAGGCCACTATAGACCGACAACCAGAGCGCAACTCCATAGTCTCCTGAGACTGATGGATGCCTACTACTACTACCTATATCTGGGGTTTGGTAATAAGTTGAATTTGATGCATTTATGCCTGAGGTCTCGTAACGTATATTTTAATGCCTGGGTTATATAATGTGTTGCATTCCATATATCAACATGGGGTGTCCAATGTTTTGTATTTAATACATCTATTGCACATGTCAGATGATGTTTTGAATTTAATCAATTTATGCCTGAAGGGTAAATAAGGTGGGTGAGCGGTAGGGAAGGCGGTGAAGGGTGGTGAGTGGTAGGGAAGGGAAGGTGGTGAAGAATAGAGGAATGGGGTAAAGGAGAGGGAAGGTAATGGGTAAGGAAAGTGATGAAGGGTAGAGAAGGTGAAGGACTAGAATATTTGTAGATACCCTGTACGATGCCAGGATAATGATGGTTACAGTGATGAGGATGGTCGTGTGTTGTGTAGATGGTTACAGTGTTGCAGGTTGTGAGTAATGAAGATGGTTATTGTCAAGAAGATAGTGAGCATGGGTAGAGGTGATGGTAGTTTGTAATGAAGATGGATACAGTGATGATGGTTTTAGAGTAAAAACTGTTATAATGGTGAAGATTGTGCACAGTGAAGATGGTGAGTTATGAAGATAGTGCGTAGTGAAGATCTGACTGTGAATTCGGAAGGAAGTCCATGACTGTGGAGATAAGTCTAAGACTATGGACTTAAGTCCATCCAGTCCCGTGTTGAGAGCGAGTCTAGGCGGGTTCAAGAGGGCATAAGGAGTTAAAAAGGTGTTGGGGGCGTGGAACGAGCTCTTCACATGATACTTCTCTAATGTATTTTCTAATGTAAATATTATTCAACTCACCTGATGGACGGGGGACACAGCTGTCAGTAGCTGTACATTAATGGGGGGAGACAGTTACTCAGCTCGAACCTCCACGACCCGCGTGGTGAGACCAATAGGAGGTGCTGCTGTGCCAGTTGAGCTGGGGTCACCGCCGTGGACGGACGTCGCTGCGGATGTATTTTTATTTCATTATTTGTGTATATATATTATTCAACTCACCTGATGGACGGGGGACACAGCTGTCAGTAGTGAAGCTGTACATTAATGGGGGGAGACAGTTTCTCAGCTCGAACCTCCACGACCCGTCGTGGTACATCTTCAGAAGGTCGGGTGACCTTCTGAAGATGTATTTAATATACGAAAGTACTTAAGGAAATTCCTGTTTCATTTTCCTCCGTGGTTTGACATTGTCACATTCTTAATCACGTGTTTATTTTCGTGATATACACACACACATATATATATATATATATATATATATATATATATATATATATATATATATATATATATATATATATATATATATATATATATATATATATATATATATATATATATATATATATATATATATATATATATATATATATATATATAATCTCGAACAGCAACATTAATCAATCTGCCGATTGAAGGACTGATCTGCATCTGCAAATTTGCGATCCATGTTTAATCTTCATATGTATTTATAACCCGGTATAAGACGGGGAAATAATTCCTTTCAAATGGCAGAAGAGAAATGTTCATAAAGGTATCCTGAATGCCACAAATTCAGAGAAAGGAAAGAGGAATATTCTCACACACACACATACATACCTTTAGGGCGAGGGACACACATGTTGAGGTTCTTGTCAATGAGTTGTTCGGCCACGCAGATGTCGCTGGCCTGGATGGGGTAACCATTTTCCACCAAACACAGCGTGCTACACAGCGTCTTGGTGGCTCTGGTGGGCTGACACACCTGGTACGTCTGACATTTCGTGTCTGTGAGCGCGCACTGTTTACCTGGACTTGTAGGTATTACTGTTGTGGTAGTTGGAGTTAATGTGGGTGTAGGAGTTAATATGGGTGTAGGAGTTAATATGAGTGTAGGAGTTAATGTAGGTGTAGGAGTTAATGTAGGTGTAGGTGTAGGAGTTAATGTGGGTGTAGGAGTTAATGTGGGTGTAGATGGAGCTAATGTGGGGGTAGTTAATGTGGGTGTAGATGGAGTTAATATGGGTGTAGATGGAGTTAATGTGGGTCTAGTTGTAGGTAATGTAATGGGTGGCACTCCCGTTCCGGTGCCACAAGGAGGCGCCGTCATGAAGGGGAAGACACACTGGTCGAGGTCGTCGGCGAAGACGGTGCCGGGGCCACACTCGAACAGGTAGGTGTTGTAGAAGCCCACCTTCATCCTGTCCACACACCTGGCCAGAGGGAGACGGACGTGGTTAGGCGGACCCCAGAGGTCGTCTGGGTTCCTGGCGGACCCCAGAGATCGTCTGGGTCCCTGGCGAACCCCAGAGGTCGTCTGGGCCCTGGTGGACCTCAGAGGTCGTCTGGGGCCTGGTGGACCTCGGACGACCAGGGCACACACACACACACACACACACACACACACACACACACACACACACACACACACACACACACACACACACACACACACACACACACACACACGATCTTCACAACCTTAGACAGACCAATATTGGAGTATGCAGCACCGGCTTGGACTTCGCATCTAGTGAAGCATAAAATCAATATTGAAAAATTACAGATGTTTGCAAGAAGATTAGTGTCAAAGCTAAGATGGCTTAACTGTAAGAATAAGTTGAGGGGAATAGACCTGACAACTCTGGATGAGAGAAGAAAGAGATTAGACATGATCACAACATACAACATACTGGGGGGGAATTGACAAGATGGTCACATTATTTTTAAAATGAGAGAAGGTAGGAGAAGACATCAGTAAGGTCATACTAGTAACTTATACAGGTAGTCAACAAGTGAAGAGCACTGAAGGAAGTTGTGGATGCCACCTCCATCCACGAATTTTAATCTTTTGTTTATATTCATCAGTTACCTGACATCAGTTACCTGACAGACTCACGTGAACGAGACTCACCCGCATGGATCACCAAGAGACACTGACCCACTTACTGTAGTTATGCCAGGGACTCACCACACAGATACACCGATCACTCACTGCAGGTGTTCACCACACAGAGACACTGACCACTTACTGTAGTAGTAGTCTCAGAGACTCACTCACACACACAGACACTGATCACTCACTGCAGGTGTTCACCACACAGATACACTGACCACTTAGTTGTAGTAGTCTCAGAGACTCAGAGACCACACACAGATACACTGATCACTCACTGCAGTTGTTCACCACACAGATACACTCACCTGTAGAACCAGCTGCAGTTTCTAGGATGAGGGAAGACGCCTTCCTTAGAGCAGTTCACCCTAGGCTGTACGATGTTGTCCGGGTAGAGGGGGTCTGTTGTGGAGGGAAGGAGACTAACGTGTTGGTTCAACTCATTATCTCTCCATGTCATCTCTCTCTCTGGGGCTTAATGTTAACTTTAACACGAATAAATATATTCTTAAAGCTGCGAGAGCGCACGTTGGACCTTGCATTCATATATACATATTTCTCTCGGCCCAAACTTATTTTAGATTCAAAATTAATTATGATATCCTGATGCCTTCCATTAGAACATTTATATCTTGATATCAGTGTTGTCATGGTAACTGTAACCATGGAGATACTTACCCTTGGGTCCGACAACAGCTGACATGGCAACCGTTGACATGGCAACCAGCATCACCACCACCAATGCTGCACTTCTCCACCACATCATCTGTAAACCATCGCGACCTCTTTATTAGGTATAATTCTAGTCCTTAATACACAATTGCAACACTACTCCAACGTACTGGGTTGATTCTCATCCAGCACGATAATAGGGTGATCCTCCACAAAGGCACTAGGCTTCTCCTTGAGCACATTAGGCTTCTTGAGCACACTAGGCTTGTCCTCCAAGACAGCCAGGCTGGGTCAGAAAAAGTACGTGTCAAAGTATAACACGTACTAAGAAAGAGTATGACAGGTCGTGTTCCAGGGATAGGGAGAGCTCTTAAGGCTGCTAACGGGAGAGACAGAAGTCGTCTACTCCTGTACCCTCCTAAGGACAGATACCAACAGACAGACAGACACACACACACACAGGGTTGTCTGTCTTTATCAACAGGGTTGATAAAGACAGGCTGTTTAACACAAGGGGCACACGCACTAGGGGACACAGGTGGAAACTGAGCGCCCAAATGAGCCACAGAGATATTAGAAATAACTTTTTTAGTGTCAGAGTGGTTGACAAATGGAATGCATTAGGAAGTGATGTGGTGGAGGCTGACTCCATACACAGTTTCAAGTGTAGATATGATAGAGCCCAATAGGCTCAGGAATCTGTACACCTGTTGATTGACGGTTGAGAGGCGGGACCAAAGAGCCAGAGCTCAACCCCCGCAAGCACAACTAGGTGAGTACAGACAGACAGACGCAGGAAGGGAGACGAAACATTTTAAGCGACCTTCCCTATAATATGTACAAATAGTCTCAATTTATTTTAAAATATTTTACAAATAATATAATATGTTCAAAAGATAATAATGGGTAAAAATTCATTGCTTGTATCATCCGTTCTCTAATAAAGCAGATTTTTATAGTCAAATTATCACTAAAAATAGATTTGTTGTTTTCACTGAGAGAGTGGGGTTATGCCACATGATAATTCTGGGAGATTATGTCAACAAAAATCCAAGTTATTGTCTAGGAATGCCAGACATAAGCTCTGAGATAACACATTGGCAGAGATGAGCTCTGGTTGATCAGTCCAGCAACCATTGCCAGATATGAGCTCTGAGATAACACACCAGATATGAGCGGGCCGCGGGGACACTAAATAACCATTGCCGGTGTGAGCTCTGAGATAACACATTGCCAGATATGAGCTCTGAGATAACACATTGCCAGACATGAGCTCTGAGATAACACATTGCCAGACATGAGCTCTGAGATAACACATTGCCAGATGTGAGCTCTGAGATAACACATTGCCAGATGTGAGCTCTGAGATAACACATTGCCAGATATGAGCTCTGAGATAACACATTGCCAGGTGTGAGTTCCGAGATAACATATCTGGCAGATAACCTCACAGGATATCATCACCGCCTGACTCATGGGGCTCCATCTTCACCTAACTCGCCAGACGACGACGCGTATTCGGAATGAATACATGTATAAGGTGATAAATACTTGTATACGGTGATTAATACATGTATAAGGTGATAAATACATGTATACGGTGATTAATACATGTATAAGGTGATACACATAAGTATCCACATATGAGTAATGAAACGAAAGCGCTGGAATTATTTTCGGCTTTTCTCCTGTGTGGTTAATTCCGTATACCTGAATCGCGTATTTTTGTGATTGTTCTTGCATAAGGTAATATATAAGTTTACAGTAAAGTAACAGGTACTGTGGTAAGTCTTCCCATTGCGGGGAGAGACCTTTGGTTATACAGAAAAAAGCAACTCGTTCTCCTCTCGGTGCATTTTGACGTATAGTTTACTAAAGGCTAAAAACTGTCGTGCTAGAAAATGGTAACGATTCGAGAAAGTTGACATAATGTCCAGTTTTCCGTTCGTGAATCCTCTGGTAGGTTAGGAAACAACTTGTCCTCACACAAAGAACGTCGCTTTTCGCTCGTATGCGTTACTAAGGCCAAAAATTATCGTACTAGAAAATGGAAGCGGCTCACGAAAGTGACGTACTTTCCAGTTTTCTGTTTTGGGTCCCCTGGCTTGGTCTCTTACGTTAGGAAAAAGACACTTTAAATTAACCGTTTTCTTTTCATGGTGAAACCTTAGGAGGACGGATTGTAGAACAAGGCACTTTAGTACAACAGTTTTAACAGAGCGTTATGAACGCTCACTAGAACGGGCTGCGGTGTGTGTGAGATAACGACATAGCGGAAGGGAGCAGCTTACCGTTCTTGACAGATCCTCGTCCAGTGGCGAAGTGGAGGCCTCAGTTCTTCCTCCCGGGTAATATACCTGACCTCCTCGCCTCCGGTCTCAACACAGGTCGCCACCCCCATGCTCACCCCCCGAGAGCTTCCCGTTATCCAGAACAGGAAGCCAGATGTGTTTTAGCATATAGGAGGTTCCTCTTAGGCCATATATATATACACTGACTTTTCCCAGGATACAACCCATACCGTTGTTCGTCTCCCAGTTACCTATTTTCTGCAAGGTGAGCAGACCTTTCTGGTGAAAGGAATCATGACCACCCCGTCTCTGTCCTGCCCTGGGATCGAACTTGGGACCCTAAGTTGTGAATCGACGTCGTTGAAGACTGCGCAACAGAAACCTTTTTTTCGCTGTATATACACCGAGACTTTACTTACACTCTTGGACTATGTTCAGGTGTCCTAAAGTGGACTTACTGGTTGGTCACTGCGCTGTTTTTATGGGCTAAATGATTCTCCAGAGGTTGATGGGCCTTAAGCCCAAACCATAACAAACCGCCTTCTCTTCCACCATAACACACTCTCCTGTCCCTTTTCCATCATAGACCACACAGCCTTCGACAACGTCAAGACCAGACGTATCCAAGAACGCAAAGCAACGAGAGGTAATGGCGGGGAACAACCCGGCAGGCCATCACCCCCGCAGACACTGTTAATTAAGTCAGTGATTGGCAAGTGCAACTAGGAAGCACTAATCCTGTCTTGACCCTATAATGTTGAACTCTATACTTTTTCCGGGTAGTTCAACCCCCCCTCCCCGACCTCCCCCCCCGACTCCCTCATACATTCCCACCTTCTCCTCCAAAGCCCCCCACAAACCCCAAATCTCCCCCCCCCCCATCCTCCTATCCGGCCTCCCAGGACCATTCTTGTCTCAACTGCATTGTTTATCTTGGGTGACCAGCCAGCGTCTGGACAATGCAACAATGCCTGCCGGACATCTCCCTCTGTCCTCCTTGATTGGCTGCCAGAGTAACACTTAAATATTATGTAATATAACTTGAGCTTGTAAGAGTACTCTAATCACCTTCTGGGGTGGTTTCGGTACCTATTCTGCCATTATGTACTATCACACCCCTCAATCGCCCTATTCACGCAGGACAGACGAATATGTGTACAATTAACTAACTATTCTATTTAGAATCGTAAGTTAATTGGCAATGAAACCCCACGTTAACAGGTTATAGTAATTGCATAATCAAACTTAACATATCACTCGGCTATTCGTTGTATTATTAATCACAACAAAATACAGCATCACAGACAAGCACTATCAGACTTCAAAATATATTCAGTTGTATAAAAATACATTAAGTCCCTGCTTATGAATCGCCTCCTCACAGTGTTGACCCGTACTAAGTGCAATAAATCATGTCTTCATTGAAATGCCTAGTTCGTGAGGGTACTGCAGTTGCAATTGCTTGTATAATGAGGATCATTAAACCATCTTTATAACGTATTTGTAATTCAGGCACTTAACATGTATCAGTTAGCTAGTCTCTGAACCTGCTTGCCAGCCATCCAGTTTTCTTCCTGAATATGTTCCTACCAGTTAGGCATTCAGCCTGTTGAGCAGCCTGTCTCCTGAGCAGCCTGTCTCCTGAGCAGCCTGTCTGCTAACCAGCCTGCCTGCTGAGCAGCCTGTCTGCTAACCAGCCTGCCTGCTGAGCAGCCTGTCTGCTAACCAGCCTGCCTGCTGAGCAGCCTGCCTGCTAACCAGCCTGCCTGCTGAGCAGCCTGTCTGCTAACCAGCCTGTCTGCTAACCAGCCTGCCTGCTAACCAGCCTGTCTGCTAACCAGCCTGTCTGCTGAGCAGCCTGTCTGCTAACCAGCCTGTCTGCTAACCAGCCTGCCTGCTGAGCAGCCTGTCTGCTAACCAGCCTGTCTGCTAACCAGCCTGTCTGCTAACCAGCCTGTCTGCTAACCAGCCTGTCTGCTAACCAGCCTGCCTGCTGAGCAGCCTGCCTGCTGAGCAGCCTGTCTGCTAACCAGCCTGCCTGCTGAGCAGCCTGTCTGCTGAGCAGCCTGCCTGCTGAGCAGCCTGTCTGCTAACCAGCCTGCCTGCTAACCAGCCTGTCTGCTAACCAGCCTGTCTGCTAACCAGCCTGCCTGCCACTCACCCAATCTGTCTGCCTGCTCATTGTCTCAACTCTACCCCTATACCAACCCTAGGTAAGCTACGGTGTTGTCTCTTGTCAAGGTACAAGCCTAGGAATCTTCCCTCACTATTACTGTTTACTTTGTGTATTTGGAGGTCAATTTGTTATATAATTATTTTGTCCAAATGAAATGAGGTTGATCTTTCCCATGTCTAGCAGGAGCGTGTTAGTTGACATCTAAGAATCGACAAAAGACGTGTTGATGTATAACTTAATCATCAGCTGAGAATGTAGTTACTACAACTATTCTTCAACTTACATCTGGTGATAGAGATCACGATAGCATTTATAGCAGAAAGTTCTTCTCCATCGCTCTGGCTTGAAGAAAATGTTGGCAAGGAGCATGGAATTGTTTAGATTCATGTGGAGGAATAATATAGGTCTTACGACTACTATTTCTGACAGTGCTACGACTACGATACGACTACGACACAGCCACAGCGCCTAGCAACTACCGACAGAGCCACTACAACAATCTTTACCACTATAGCCTTGTCCAAGGGCCCTCAATGCACCTTACAACGCTTCACGGATTGTCTCAAAACACCCATCAATCCGATACTCAAAGGTCAGTATTGGATCTGTTACATCAGTGAGAACATTATCCCGTTGACTTCCTCTCAATTTAATGTCATAAAATTGAACGCTATTGCATCTACAGGTTGATGCTTGATCGCCACTGAAATTGGCTTGTTAATAGTTCACTAACTGTGATGGGTGACTTCCCTGTCGCAGGTGAGGGCTCGGTGGTGATTGGCTGAGCCCTGGGCAGGGTCGACACCGCCGCTGCCGCCCCGAGGGCAGTGCTCCCCGGGCCGGGCAGACGTGAAGACCTCCGCAGCTCACTCTCGCGTTCCAGGAATTCTGACACCTGTGCTGTACCTCAGCTGTACCGACCTCGCCTGTCAACTTGTCTACCCCTTGGAAGCTACCAGGCTACGAAAGAAGACTGCAGACTCAAGGTAAGTCTCCTTGTGGTATATTTAACATATTATCTGCATGGAGGTGATGCCATTACGCGATAGGGACGTTAAATGCAAACTACACGACCTTACGTTGATAAGTTAAAATGATCACTACGATCCAGCTCCTGTGTTCATTGTGCAACGCATACTGTAGAAAGATGGTTATAGCGAAATTAGCTCACAATCCATTGGGCCATAGTTCGGTTAAAGAGAGGGCAAGACATTTGGGCACTTTTCCTTATGCTCCTGTTCACCTAGCAGCAAATAATTACCTGTGAGTTATGCAGCTGTTAAGAGTTGCATCCCGGAAAAGGCCATTTGGTCACCTAGGACCTGAGAGATATCGAGAACCACCTAGGCCCTAGGTGGACCTGGACGTGTCTATAGGACGTCCTCTTACCGGCCAGCCCATCCTTCGAATAGACAGTTTGTTTTAATACTAAATGTAATAAGTACATTCCTGACTATCGGCATAGTACATAAATACACTTAATCGCCAGCATCGCACCAAAATATTGTGAATATTAGAGTATACCTGAAAAGCTGTATAGAAAACAACGACCATAGACGACCTTAGGAGTGTAGGAGGACAAGCATGTAAATAACATTTATTGCTTCTTAATTACAATTAATACTTGACCTATAGCTATATTGATATTACAATTTTATAAAACTAATGAAATAAAACTAAAGTCTTTCAACAAATTATAAAGTAATTCAGGATATCTTCAAATATTGTATAAAATTTTTGTTATTTAATAAAACTGAAAAAGATATTCTCTATATTTAAAAACTTGTGTACAGAGAATTAAACACGAAAACTTCAACTTAAAATGTTTAAGTTTAGTTAGAAATTTGGGGAATATATGAGATAAATTTAAGGGTACAATTAATTATATTTATGTACTATGCAGACAGTCAGGAATGTACTTACTATATTTAGTATTAAAATGTACAGTCTATTCGGAGGAAAAGTTGCACCGGCAACTGGTTCGTTTTTGACTCACGATCCGGAATTCCGGGTTCGAGTCCAGGGCGGGAGAGAAACGGTTCGGTATGTTTTCTATCACCTAATGCTCGCTGTCCATCTAGCAGTAAATAGGAACCCAGGACTTGGTCAGCTTATTGTGGAGTCGCATCCTGTAGGGTCAGTAATTCGACCTCGAAGGAGGACCTCGGTATAAGTCTAACGTGTATTATATAAGTCTAACAATGAATTATTATTATTAGTATTAGTCCTATCGTAGTGACAGACATCAATATGTAGCCATCAGTGATATAACCTCTCCCACTTTACCATTAATCGTAGGAGTGCCACAGGGCAGCATACTAGGACCTCTCCTATTTCTTGTATACATCAATAATCTGCCTGATGTCTCTAACATTCTTAAACCTATATTATTTGCTGGCTATCCTTTGCTGATACTATCCTCATCTACTCTGACCCCAACCCACACACATTAAATAATAAATTAAAAAAAAAAGTCCACTTATGAATGTCAACCAACAAACTCGCTAAACATAGAAAAGACCGACTACATCATATTTGGAGACACATCAACAAATGCAATTCAGCTTCAGATAGACAATGTCAATACTTAGACAAGAGACTCAACTTCAGCACCTACATACAACACATGACCAAGAAAGTCACAAAAACGATTGGTATACTCTCTAAACTCAGATATTATGTTCGAAACTCTGTTCTCCTCTCACTATACTTCGCGCTAATCTATCCTTATCTTACATATGGTATCTGAGCATGGAGTTCAACCACTGAAAACTACCTCAAGTCCATCATCAGCCAGCAAAAATCAGAACAATAACAAACTCTGCTTTTAGCGGCTTTACAAGAATGTAAAATCATCAATGCTATGCACTCCATAAACGCAATGTACCCTTTTGTATATATATAAATAAAAAATAAATATTAAAAAAAAAATGGCCCTATGTAAGTAAGTTACCGTTTCATTCTCTTCGTTTTCTAACACATTCTTTCTCTACAGAAAATTAATACTGAGGCTTGATTCAAGGGTAAGCTATAGAAATTGATGCAAGAGGGCCTGAATTTACCTAACGTGCCTAATGACCACTATGTGGTGGTCACGACGGGGATAGGAAACCGGCGGCTTGTCAAAGGTCTCCCATATTTTGTCCTGAGAGATTTTTTCCAGCTGCATTTTGAACTGTAGTAATATTTTAGCATTTCCGGCTTCAGAGGATAGGCATAGGCTGGGTTTATAAACCCGTGGGTGAAAAAGCATCTCTTGTTTTCTGCCTTACACTATGGCTTGTTGAGCTTGATGCTATTCCTTATATATGATACATTAGACCTTTTAAAGAATTGGTGTGGATTAATATCCTCCAGTTTGTTCAATATTCCCCTTGGCGAAGTGGTAACACACTCGCCTGGCGTTTCGCAAGCGCTTTGGCCTGGGGTTCGAATCCTAGTCGGGGAGGATTTATTAGACGCCAATCCTTAACTGTAGCCTCAGTTTACCCAGCAGTGAATGGGTACCTGGTTGTTAAAAGATTTAGTGGGGTCGTATTCTGGAGAAAATTAGGTTTAAGGCTCACCCTAAACGCTATGCGTGCTAGTACTCACCAAGTTGTACTCACCTAGTTGTGCTTGCGGGGGTTGAGCTCTGGCTCTTTGGTCCCGCCTCTCAACTGTCAATCAACAGGTGTACAGGTTCCTGAGCCTATTGGGCTCTGTCATATCTACACTTGAAACTGTGTATGGAGTCAGCCTCCACCACATCACTTCCTAATGCATTCCATTTGTCAACCACTCTGACTTGTAGTGACTGTACAAGAATGTTAGAATTCATGTATATATAAATTTTAATGTTTGCAGTGTTAATACTGTGGTCCTCGACCCTTCCTGGTACGAGAGACTACTTAGTTCTGAAACGATCTTTGGAATATGTGTGCGTGTGTGTGTGTGTGGTAGAGAAATATATGTTGTAGATATAATACAGTTATGGCAAGAGTCAGTTCATTAGACATCCAACAGTTAAAAAGGTCAGGTACAAGACCTGCATCTTGATCCTGAAGGCATCAATAGTAAACACACACACACACACACACACACACACACACACACACACACACACACACACACACACACACACACACACACACACACACACACACACACACACACACACACACACACACACACACCCACACCAATCAACCTACCTGTTGATTGACGGTTGAGAGGCGGGACCAAAGAGCCAGAGCTCAACCCCCGCCTAACCATTTCTGTCCCGCCGAGGATTCGAATCCGGAATTCCCGATTGTAGGTCGAGAGTTCCAGCAAGATTAATTAAAATTTGAAAACGGTTCTGAATTGGAGTAAAACGCTGAATATACAGAGAAAAGTGGCTGCTGGTTCATCATACATTACATTCTTGTACAGCCCTGGAATACGATCCCCTGCCGCGAAGAATCGTTTTTTCATCCAAGTACACATTTTACTGTTGCGTTAAACAGAGGCTACAGTTAAGGATTTGCGCCCAGTAAATCCTCCCCGGCCAGGATACGAACATTCTTGTACAGCCCTGGAATACGATCCCCTGCCGCGAAGAATCGTTTTTTCATCCAAGTACACATTTTACTGTTGCGTTAAACAGAGGCTACAGTTAAGGATTTGCGCCCAGTAAATCCTCCCCGGCCAGGATACGAACATTCTTGTACAGCCCTGGAATACGATCCCCTGCCGCGAAGAATCGTTTTTTCATCCAAGTACACATTTTACTGTTGCGTTAAACAGAGGCTACAGTTAAGGATTTGCGCCCAGTAAATCCTCCCCGGCCAGGATACGAACCCATGACATAGCGCTCGCGGAACGCCAGGCGAGTGTCTTACCACTACACCACGGAGACTTATTATCATATTTGTGATATATAATTAAGCAACATGTAAGGCCCTCCCCCATCCCCTGTGAGATTGTTATGAAGTCAAATCTGAAATATTGGGTGTGTTGTCCTTATACTTATTTGAGTTTCAGTGATTCGTTATGTAATTTTCCTGAGAGATAGAGAGAGAGAGAGATAAGGGACAGATAAGGGAGAGGAGAATGTTTGAAAAGATCAAAGAAGGAAGGTGCAGAGGGCGTGTGAAATTTGGGGAAGAGAGAGGGGAAATGGGGAAATAATGGAAGGAGAGGGAAAATGGGGAAATAATGGAAGGGGAGGGATTAAGGGGGTGTTGGGGAGGGAGAGATATGGACAGGGAACCTAGAAGAGAGTGGAAGAGTGAAGGGGTAGAGAGAGACCCGGGTGCTGCTGGGTATGCCTCCTCTAATACCCATACAAGAAGATTGTGTGAAGTTGGGAGTCGATGCTTAGGGCTAACCCTTACCAAACTTTGCAGGGTGACTGGTCTTTTTCTGTGGATTGTCAAGGTTTGATCAGGCCTGGTCGACGACCGGGGCGCGGGGTCACTGAGCCCCGAAATCATCTCGAGGTAAGGTAACCTCAGGGGTCTGGCCCCATGCCCTACAACCCCCCCCCCCCCCCTCCTCCTCTCCCCTTTTGGTGAAATGTCAAATCATTCTAATTTCCAATCTCGCTAAATGCCTCATTCCATCCATATTAATATTCACTTAGGATATTATTTTCTGTGTGACTAAATGTTAGCTTCTATTATGTAGTTTATTTATGGGTGACAGTATTTAGTGAAAATATCTCTGGTCACTTATCGAAGATATCCCTGAAATTTTCAGGGATGAAGAAAACGTGGTGAAGGGTAGGGAAGGTGGTGAAGGGTTGGGGAAGGTGGTGAAGGGTTGGGGAAGGTGGTGATGGGTAGGGAAGGTGGTGAAGGGTAGGGAAAGTTATCTCGAGATGATTTCGGGGCTTTAGTGTCCCCGCGGCCCGGTCCTCGACCAGGCCTCCACCCCCAGGAAGCAGCCCGTGACAGCTGACTAACACCCAGGTACCTATTTTACTAAGGTGCCTAGGTACCTAAAGGTGGTGAAGGGTAGGGAAGGTGGTGAAGGGTAGGGAAGGTGGTGATGGGTAGGAAAATTGGTGTAAGATGGGAAAAGTGGTGATGGGCAAGGAAGGTGGTGAAGAATAGGGGAAATGGGTAAAGGAGAGGGAAGGTAATGGGTAAGGAAAGTGATGAAGGGTAGAGAAGGTGAAGGACTAGAATATTTGTAGATACCCTGTACGATGCCAGGATAATGATGGTTACAGTGATGAGGATGGTCGTGTGTTGTGTAGATGGTTACAGTGTTGCAGGTTGTGAGTAATGAAGATGGTTATTGTGAAGAAGATAGTGAGCATGGGTAGAGGTGATGGTAGTTTGTAATGAAGATGGATACAGTGATGATGGTTTCATAGTAAAACCTGTTACAATGGTGAAGATAATGCACAGTGAAGATGGTTAGAGTTATGAAGATAGTGCATAGTGAAGATCTGACCCCTGTGAATTCGGAAGGAAGTCCATGACTGTGGAGATAAGTCTAAGACTGTGGACTTAAGTCCATCCAGTCCCGTGTTGAGAGCGAGGCTAGGCGGGTTCAAGAGGGTATAAGGAGTTAAAAAGGTGTTGGGGGGCGTGAAACGAGTTCTTCACATGATGTTTCTCTAATGTAAACAAATCCGAGTAAGCTTTGGGATTGGTAGGCTGTAGACCAATAGGAGGTGCTGCTGTGCCAGTTGAGCTGGGGTCACCGCCGTGGACGGACGTCGCTGCTCCTGACCGTGGCGCTGGTGTCTTTGTCACTTAAGACCATAGGCTGATTTACCAGACGCAAAGGCATGCAAGCAAATTTCTAGCAAACATTGGATTATCTAGATTAGGTGGATATCAACAAGCACACTAGAATAGTGTCTATTAATCTTGTTTAAATTACCAATCAAGCTGTCAGTGTAATCATTCAGAGCTTAAATATACCAATGTGCTTTAATATACTTACTAATCTCTCTCATCTCATTTTTTTTCTTGCAATGTATCTGTTATCGTTTTATTAATTCTGCTGGAATTTACCTACTTAAAATTATCTGTTAGATTAAGGACCTGCCCGAAACGCTGCGCGTACTAGTGGCTTTACAAGATTGTAAATACTATGCTATGTATTCTCTCTAACCCAATGTACCTTCTTGTATATAAATAAATAAATAAATAAATAGGCAAAGAACTAGCAGAACTCAAGGTAGCTGACACTAGTTATATCTTGAGGTTATCTTGAGATGATTTCGGGGCTTTAGTGTCCCCGCGGCCCGGTCCTCGACCAGGCCTCCACCCCCAGGAAGCAGCTCGTGACAGCTGACTAACTCCCAGGTACCTATTTTACTGCTAGGTAACAGGGGCATTCAGGGTGAAAGAAACTTTGCCCATTTGTTTCTGCCTCGTGCGGGAATCGAACCCGCGCTACAGAATTACGAGTCCTGCGCGCTATCCACCAGGCTACGAGGCCCCTAGTTAGTCTAAAAAATTTAAAGACTGGAAACTTGATTTTTCAATATATACTTCTAGGTTATCTCCAGAGATAATCTGGTTAATTAATAAGAATTATTGTGTAAAAACTTTAATAATACATAAGTTCATAAAAGTATAACTGCAACGCAACAGGAAGTAAATGAACAGCAGGAGTTTGGCACATGTAAGTGAGTTGAGTAAGTTGAGTACATGTAATATAAATACTACTTGAGTTGAGTAAGTTGAGTACATGTAATATAAATACTACTTTCATTACACATATAAAAATGAAACACTGAATACAGAAACTTAACAAAACGTTCTACTTCGCAACTTTAGACAACTTACATACAGGATAATGATATGACTTTTAAATATGTAACAACAACAAAATAAGATAACAGTAATGGAACAAAATAAATAATAAATATTGTTTGCATAAATATAAACAAATAAACAAATAAACAAGGTACTAATTGAAATGCAACCTATCCACAACGAAAAGCAGGTGAACGAAGATAACGATAAAGGTCGTCCAAGAACCTTTTCGTATACATATGTATAAAATATACCCTCAGGTGGATAATCTGTAGTAAATGCTAACATGAGATATATCTCTATATCTATATTATTCACAATTTGCAAAGTCTAGCCAGCTGAGAGACTCAGAATTGAGAGATAGTAAAAAGACTTGTGTGTCACTAGACTGTTAATGATGCAAACACAACTGATATGGTGCTTTATTGGAGGGTTGTGTTGGGGCAGTATGGAGGGTTGTGTAGGGGAAGTATGGAAGGCTGTGTAGGGGAGGGTTGTGTAAGTATGGAAGGCTGTGTAGGGGAAGTATGGAGGGTTGTGTAGTGGGAATATGGAGTCATGTAGAGGCGTCGGTTATGAAGGGTTATGAGATACACCGTAGGATTTTGGAGGGTTATGAGGTTGTAAAAAGGCTTGAATATGGATGACACTAAGGGGAAGAATTGTCTGACTTTAGTGAATGTGTGTGTAAATTAAACACACACTTCATAAACAAAGTTAATTCAAAAGTGTGTCCCCCCCCCCTTGAGATAGCTTTATTTCTTGTCTTATGTTCATCAGCGGTCGACCTTTGACCTGAGACAGGCATAATTCTTGAATGTTGCTAATTGTCTTCTAGACGAGGAGGCTCAAGTCAGCTTCGAGTCACAAGCGATATCAAATTCCAGTGTCAAAATTGAGGGCATCTAATCGTAGGTGCTGCTACAGGTTGATGTGACAGGGCAGGGTATTCAATGAGAGGGTGCCAAGCGGTACGAAATTCAGTAGCGTGGCGGCGGGTGTCGAAGCTTTCGGGTGTCAACAGCGTCGAAGCTTTTGAGTGTCAACAGCGTCGAAGCTTTTGAGTGTCAACAGCGTCGAAGCTTTTGGGTGTCAACAGCAGGTATCAGGTAGCAGTGTGTTGCGGAGCGTTGCCGTTTTCTATTAACACAATTCATTGGCTGAAAGACAATAGAAAATGCGTGTGAATTTCTTGATGGTAAACTGAAGTAAAATGATCGTGTACATTGTTATTATTGTAAGGTAATGTACACCCGCATATCTAGAAATTAAATTAAATAAAAATAATAATTAAAAAGTATAGACACAGAAGATACGTAAAATGTATTTCATATACGTAAATGCTTAAAGTCACATAATGTGTTGTATTAGTACACATATGCCTAGGGTTTGGTAATGTATTGTATCTGATGTATTTTATACCCATATTACTTACCATATTATAATACATTTATATCCTGATCAGGGATATGCTCACTGAGAGGTATACCAAGTTTCCACTTTTCAGCATATATAAACTTAATGTCCTGAATTATGTTTAGGGTTAAAAGTATACTTCCTGGTTGCTTATAAACTATCGTGATGGCCTTAATAACCCTCCAGAGGTTGTTAGACCTTAATAACCCTCCAAAGGTTGATAGACCTTAATAACCCTCCAGAGGTTGTTAGACCTTAATAACCCTCCAGAGGTAGATAGGCCTTAATAACCCTCCAGAGGTAGATAGGCCTTAATAACCCTCCAGAGGTAGATAGGCCTTAATAACCCTCCAGAGGTAGATAGGCCTTAATAACCCTCCATAGGTAGATAGGCCTTAATAACCCTCCAGAGGTAGATAGGCCTTAATAACCCTCCAGATGTTGATAGGCCTTAATAACCCTCCAGATGTTGATAGGCTTTAATAACCCTCCAGAGGTTGATAGACCTTAATAACCCTCCAGAGATTGATAGGCCTTAATAACCCTTCAAAGGTTGATAGGCCTTAATAACCCTTCAAAGGTTGATAGGCCTTAATAACCCTCCAGAGGTTGATAGGCCTTAATAACCCTCCAAAGGTTGTTAAACCTTAATAACCCTCCAGAGGTTGATAGGCCTTAATAACCCTCCAGAGGGCGATAGGCCTGAAGCCTAACACCAAACCTTATGGTTTTTATAGCGAATCTTATTTGTACTGATTGTAATTACATGTAAGGCTTATATCTAATTATAGATAATGTTACATTTGTCATATATAATGATCTCACGTGATAAAGATTATATATAATAACATGAATAATTGTCGATAGTTTAGTTAGATTATAGTACCTTATAATTATAAATATCGATTATAGATAACGAATACTGAGGGTTATAGGATTTGGTTTTATTGATTTTATTATTTTATAATTAATGGTATGAAATAACCATATGTGATTTAGATTATGATTGGTTGTTGCATTTAATATTAATATTAAATACTTAATATTAAATATGATTAATTATATATTACCTTCAGGCATTTAATGCTAAATATCTAGTACACTGATGAAAAACGAGTCATTATTATTTCATATTTAAAATAGTAGGAAATCGAATCATTTTTTATCTTTATTTGTGTATTAAGTGCTTATTTGTTAACGTTTATTTTAACGAGTTTATATTTGATTCTATTTATGATTTGTTAAGTGTACTTGTTACGACCCTGGGGCCAGATTCACGAAAGCACTTACGCAAACACTTACGAACCTGTACATCTTTTCTCAATCTTTGGCGGCTTTGTTTACAATTATTAAACAGTTAATGAGCTCTGAAGCACCAGGAGGCTGTTTATAACATTAACAACAGTTGATTGGCAAGTTTTCATGCTTGTAAACTGTTTATAAATGTAACCAAAGCCGTCAAAGATTGAGGAAAGATGTACACGTTCGTAAGTGTACACGTTCGTAAGTACTTTCGTGAATCTGGCCCCTGGGTTCCTCAGTGGAAACCAGAGGTCAAAATTGAGCTATTAAACTTTCCTATAGTATAGTTGGACGCATCACGAGCTGAAATTGTTTGTATCTTCCCTGCCAGACGTAAGACTATTCTTGTTTCTCAAAGAGCATTTAAAGACTGAGCTGGGGGTTGATTATTAAATAATAACATAGGCACCAACTATATTTACTAATACTTTCTAATCATTTGTAAAGTAGTATTTTTATTTCATTATTTGTGTATATATATTATTCAGCTCACCTGATGGACGGGGGACACAGCTGTCAGTAGTGAAGCTGTACATTAATGGGGGGAGACAGTTTCTCAGCTCGAAGCTCCACGACCCGTTGGGGTTCTTGTTACACTGGTAGTAGTTGGTGCACAGTTCTTGACGACCCTGAGGACGAGGACGAGGACGAGGGTATTATTATTTTTGACATTTTTATTGACAAATTCAATTCCAATTTGGTGTAATGTGAGTAATTTAATTAGGTCTTGTATTAAGAGTGGATTTGGGAGTTATTAGGGATTTGGGAGTATTTTAGGGAGTTGTGTGGGGAAGGGTTTGGAAGGAAGTGTTGTTTAGACGAGAGGAGTCAGTTTCACACTTGTTCAGATAATTCAGTAGATTGGGAGGCTGGACAAATCCACAAGGGCCGTGACGAGGATTCGAACCTGCGTCCGGGAGCATCCCAGATACTGCCGGGAGCATCCCAGACACTGCCAGACACTGATTTGTTCATTTGATGCATCATGTTAGTGTGATCTCTGTGTGTGTTGGAAGGTTGGCTTAGTCACTGGAAAGGTTGATTAGTAAGGTTTTGGTGTGAGGGACCAATTGGATGGTTTAGTAAGCAAATTTGGGAGTCGAGTGAGCGGCTTAGAGGAGTGACTGGATACAACGGAGAGGTGACTTAATAGATTTTAACTTAAGAGGTCAGACGGAGTTCAAAAGTTTGGAGGATTGACTGGACAAACTTAAGGGTTGATCGAGCACATTGAGAGGTTGACTGGGCAAATTTAGAGACTCGCTTGGCCTGGTTGGGGTTTGATTAAAGACAAAGATGCTAATTCTTATAATCTAGGAAGCCGGCGGCGTACACAAGGACGATTTCTGAATGCAACAGTCTTACCTTAAACGTCTTATTGGCGTCACATAGGGCGAACACTTGACAGTACCGACTGACGATCCAATCCTCCTTGGGTCTAGTCTGCTGGTCTGAGCACCTGAGCACGTTGGTGGAGGTGATGGGCACTGTCGGAGGAGGAGTCGTGCTCGCCGGACACAGGTCTGTCGCTGGTTGGGGAGAGAGAGGGAGGAGAAGGAGAACAGTTAGAGATAATCGAAGAGGCTCATGGACGCGAGTTCGAGTCCATCGGGGACACCGATTGTGACCATTCACGACTAAAGATCACATTCTCGCCAAACATTTACCACTTTTACGGGTTACTCATGCCCGTGCTACCTCTTGTGGTGGCTTAAACTTCATTAGCCAGTCAATCGAGTCCATCGATCTGCTCCAAAGGTTTTCTCGTAAATGTATCAAACTCTAGTGATTTCATTATGTAGGTTCATGCTCCTGATTGATTCAGTTTGGGAATTACGTACACAGAGGTGTTGATTTTACAGTTAATGAGATGGCTAAGTGTCCATGCAAGATTAGCACCATGACTTTGCCAAAGTACTATCATCATTGAAAAATGAACTCTTCTTCCTTTCCAATATGTATAAATCATTCGACAGTATTAAACATTAAGGTATATTTGGACTTAAGGCTTTTGTTATTGTTAGACTTGTGAATGAAGATTGAGGCGATTAGTATCGGAAGGGACCTTTTGAGATGAGTTTTATCATCATTCTGGAAACAGATTATAAACAGAAATGGAGTAAAATCTTAGCGTGAGAACATTTGCAAAAAACAAAAGTATCACATGGGCTCTTTCCTGGTCCCCTCTATTGTTTATATATATATATATATATATATATATATATATATATATATATATATATATATATACACGAAGAGAAATGTTCATAAAGGTATCCTGAATGCCACAAATTCAGAGAAAGGAAAGAGGAATATACACACACACACACACACACACACACACACACACACACACACACACACACACACACACACACATACCTTTAGGGCGAGGGACACACTGGTTGAGGGCCTTGTCAATGAGCTGTTCGGCCCCGCAGATGTCGCTGGCCTGGATGGGGATAGTATTGGCCACGTAGCAGGTGTTACACAGCGTCTTGGTGGCTCTGGTGGGCTGACACACCTGGTACGTCTGACAGCTCGTGTCTCTGAACGCGCACTGTATTACTGGACTTGTAGATGTAGGTGTAGGTGTAGGTACTGTGGGTCTAGGTGTAGGTGGTGTGGGTCTAGGTGTAGGTGGTGTGGGTCTAGGTGTAGGTGGTGTGGGTCTAGGTGTAGGTGGTGTGGGTCTAGGTGTAGGTACTGTGGGTGTGGGTGTAGGTACTGTGGGTCTAGTTGTAGGTACTGTGGGTCTAGGTGTAGGTAATGTAATGGGTGGCACTCCGGTTCCGGTGCCACAAGGAGGCGCCGTCATGAAGGGGAAGACACACTGGTCGAGATCGTCGGCGAAGACGGTGCCGGGGCCACACTCGAACAAGTAGGTGTAGTAGAAGCCCACCTTCATCCTGTCCACACACCTGGCCAGAGAGAGACGGACGTGGTTAGGTGGACCCCAGAGGTCGTCTGGGCCCTGGCGGACCCCAGAGGTTGTCTGGGCCCTGGCGGACCCCAGAGGTCGTCTGGGTCCCTGGTGGACCCCAGAGGTCGTCTGGGCCCTGGTGGACCCCAGAGGTCGTCTGGGTCCCTGGTGGACCCCAGAGGTCGTCTGGGCCCTGGTGGACCCCAGAGATCGTCTGGGTCCCTGGTGGACCCCAGAGGTCGTCTGGGCCCTGGTGGACCTCGGACGACCAAGACTTACACACACACAGAGAAAGGCAGGTAATAATTTCACGTAAAGCGACAGAATTACCCGTCTGCGATTCACCAATATCGAACTACTCAGAGCTTTATATACACAACGTTGAGCTCTCCTGTACACTGTGAGAATCGTTCTTTAGAAACAAGTAACTCATCTGATAACTTTACAAAGCAATACTCATTAGTATAACCGATTCACCCTAATGAGCAGCGCCAGAAACTCACCCTGGCAAAGAAAGAATGCTAGGGACTAGGGAAGATACTCACCCTTCAACAAGACTCAGCTACAACAAAGACTCACCTGTAATACCAGCTGCAGTTCCTAGGGTGAGGGAAGACACCCTCGCTTGAACACTTCACCTTAGGCTCGACAATATTGTCCGGATAGCGTGGGTCTGCAAGGTAGGTTCGGATTAGACGTGACGGGTCAGTTCAACTCTATTTTTTTATCTCTGGGACTCGACTTTAGTACTGTGGTATGACGAACGTATCGTGTCTTTGGACGTATAGTGTCTTTGGACGTATAGTGTCTTTGGACGTATGGCAAATGAGTAAATTCCGGAAACCGAAATCATTATAATCATTATATCATTATATCTCATTATAAAGAAAAAATCTAGTCATTATTCATGAAAAGTAACGTATTAGAGGAATCTACATTTTAGAAACATACTAAAATTAGATTTTAATTACCATGTAATTCAGTATGTCCATGGTGGAATATGGAGCATTTTTAACTATTATTTGCAAAGGCGAAACTCATAAAATCATTTGTTTACCGAATAATTTAACACATGGGCTGCATACAAGGACTTATACACTTAAATGTGTATATCTTACTTGTTATAAATACACGGGGACTTCACTTCAGCCCTGGATTATATTCAAGACGTAAATATACAAAAGTATACTTGCTATAAGGTCAGTAAACTATTTTGGTAAGCCTTATTAACTCTCGTGATGTTGATATGTTTAAATATTCAATACAATATTCAATATTGTATTCAATATTGAATACAATATTCCAAATGTGTTTACGTCAACAATACACAACGAGTATTAATGAACAATTAAACGAACGTGTTGATATATTCTCAAGAGCTTCGTGACTGCTCGTTTTAACGGAATGATTAAGTTGACATGGGAGGTGTTGTCATGGTAACTGTAACCATGGAGATACTTACTCTTGGGTCCGGGGACAGCAGCCATGGCAACCGCTGCCATGGCAACCAGCATCACCACCACCAATGCTGCGCTTCTCCACATCATCATCTGTAAAGCATCCCGACCTCTTTATTAGATATAACTCTGGCTTATATTCACATTAAACCATCCTGTCCTCACCTGTATAATACTGGATTATAGACTCGTTAAACCATCCCATATTTTTTTATTTACATATAACTCTGGATTATAGAACTTAGTATACTTAGTTTGAACACTCCTCCAAATTGGATTTCTCATCTTGAGGTTATCTTGAGATGATTTCGGGGCTTTTTAGTGTCCCCGCGGCCCGGTCCTCGACCAGGAAGCAGCCCGTGACAGCTCACTAACACCCAGGTACCTATTTTACTGCTAGGTACCGGGGGGCGGGCATCAGGGGTGAAAGAAACTTTGCCCATTTGTTTCTGCCTGGTCCGGGAATTGAACTCGGTCCACAGAATTAAGAGTCCTGCGCGCTGGCCCCCCCCCCCCCCAGTGTGTGTGTGTGTACTCACCTAATTGTGCTCGCGGGGGTTGAGCTCTGGCTCTTTGGTCCCGCCTCTCAACCGTCAATCAACTGGTTAGGTTAGGTGTGTGTGTGTGTGTGTGTGTGTGTGTACTCACCTATTTGTGCATGCAGGATCGAGCTTTAGCTCTTGGATCCCGCTTTTCTAGCCATTGGTTGTCTAATGCAATGACTCCTGGCCTATTTCTCTATCATACCTGCTTTTAAAGTTATGAATGGAGTCAGCCTCTACAATCTGCTCCTCTAGGTGTGTGTTTACGGTATTTTATTTTTAGTAAACATTTTTAAAGTTGTGAAAAATTTAGTAAATTGTTTTGAAAATGCTTCTGGGAGGCAAGTTAAGATTTATACATTCATAAATGAATAAAGAAAATAAAGAGTGGATAAACTTGAGATGTAACATGACTCTTAAAATGTCAAGGAAGACGAGTTGTTGTGGACCTGGGATAATTAGCTCATCCCCAGCCTAGCACCGTGGCCAATTAGAGCTAGAACCGTGGCCAATTAGAGCTAGAACCGTGGCCAATTAGAGCTAGAACCGTGGCCAATTAGAGCTAGAACCGTGGCTAATTAGAGCTAGAACCGTGGTCAATTAGAGCTAGAACCGTGGCTAATTAGAGCTAGAACCGTGGCCAATTAGAGCTAGAACCGTGGCTAATTAGAGCTAGAACCGTGGCTAATTAGAGCTAGCACCGTGGCCAATCAGAGCTAGCACCGTGGCCAATCAGAACTAGCACCGTGGCCAATTAGAGTTAGAACCGTGGCCAATCAGAGCTAGAACCGTGGCTAATTAGAGCTAGCACCGTGACCAATCAGAGCTAGAACCGTGGCTAATTAGAGCTAGAACCGTGGCTAATTAGAGCTAGCACCGTGGCCAATTAGAGGAAGTGAGGAGAAGCAAGGCTAGAAACCAGTATTTAACGAGCATTATTCTGGCTCCCACTTACAATGTACTGAGATAAAGAAAAGATAAAGAGAGAAAGAAATCTGTTGTGATATCTTTGCCGCGAAACTCCTTGTGTTGGATTTTATTTGTCTCCAATAGTCTTAAAATGGTGGCTTTTGTTGTTGTAAAATGGTGGCTTTTGTTGCTGTAAAATGGTGGCTTTTGTTGTTGTAAAATGGTGGCTTTTGTTGCTGTAAAATGGTGGCTTTTGTTGTTGTAAAATGGTGGCTTTTGTTGTTGTAAAATGGTGGCTTTTGTTGTTGTAAAATGGTGGCTTTTGTTGCTGTAAAATGGTGGCTTTTGTTGCTGTAAAATGGTGGCTTTTGCTGCTGTAAAATGGTGGCTTTTGTTGCTGTAAAATGGTGGCTTTTGTTGCTGTAAAATGGTGGCTTTTGTTGTTGTAAAATGGTGGCTTTTGTTGTTGTAAAATGGTGGCTTTTGTTGCTGTAAAATGGTGGCTTTTGTTGTTGTAAAATGGTGGCTTTTGTTGTTGTAAAATGGTGGCTTTTGTTGCTGTAAAATGGTGGCTTTTGTTGTTTCAAGACTGTTAGCAACTCTCAGCCTTTGAATTAACAAAGGAAACATATACGTATGTAGAGACAAAGATGAGCAGTTACATATTGAGGAGCACAAACGCTTTCGTTCTGATAGCTTCAGAACACAATATTGGATCATTATATTGGTCTGCAACGATTACAGTATGTTATTGCTTGGCATATTGGATGAAAAAGTATGTAATTTAGTATTAGTAAAAAGTATGTAAAAAGTATTTATGCCCGAAACGCTTTGCGTAATAGTGGCTTTAGGCATTGTATGTACTAGCTCTACCTATAAGTCAAACAATCCTTGTAAATATTTATTGTATGTATGTACCTTACCTAAATAAAATTGTATTGTATTGTATTGTATTGTATTGTAATGTGTGTGTGTTTAGAATCATTTACAACGAGAAACGTATCCAAGGTATCAACCAGGTTAGGTTCAGTGGACACTGATTTTGTTCGCTGGGTGCGTTTGTGGCCCTCTTACGGCGCTGAAAACCAGGTGAGGTTAGTTACAAGGGACATTGGTTTTGTTCGCTGGGTGCGTTTGTGGCCTCTTATGGCGCTGAAAACCAGGTGAGGTTAGTTACAAGGGACATTGGTTTTGTTCGCTGGGTGCGTTTGTGGCCCTCTTACGGCGCTGAAAACCAGGTGAGGTTAGTTACAAGGGACATTGGTTTTGTTCGCTGGGTGCGTTTGTGGCCTCTTATGGCGCTGAAAACCAGGTGAGGTTAGTTACAAGGGACATTGGTTTTGTTCGCTGGGTGCGTTTGTGGCCTCTTATGGCGCTGAAAACCAGGTGAGGTTAGTTACAGGGGACATTGGTTTTGTTCGCTGGAAGCGTTTGTGGCCTTTGGTTTGTTTCTCTCCACCTGAAAGCCAGGTGGAGAGAAACTGAACTAGTAGTGGTGGTGACGCTATAGATTAATTAGAGCCTGGAAGGCCAATACCAGCATGAAATGATAGAGTGAAACTGAATTTGTGTTTGCCACCATGTTGGGTGGATGAACCGGTTTCTTTACTGCCGTACTTGACCCGGGAATGGAGGTCAGAGAAAGTCTGGAAAGTTTAATATACGGTCGTGATAGGTCAAGAAAACCCGAGAGAAAGAGAAAGTTGCAGCAGGTGTGGAATTTAATAATGTTTCCAGATTCCAGATCAAATCGCGGGAAGTACAACGAAAACATTGAAATTTGGTGTCAAATAAAATTAGTGTAAAGATATCAGAGGACGTAAACAAAGGCAGTCAAGGTCAAATCCCAATATAAATACCAAAATACCACATGAAGTTTAAATCGACGGAAAAGTTACAGTAGATCAGTGGAGAAAAGGGCAAGGGAAAAGGGGACCAATGTGAAGTTTTGGAATGGAAAGGTTCAGCGTAGGCAATATTAGGTAAATTTTTGATCTGGGAAGGTGTGGTGGGTGTGGGGAACTTCCTCAGAGTCACTTTAATATCAGCTCCTCCTCCTCCTCTACAATTTACGGGCTCACCATAGCCCGTGCTACATGGACACTTCGTCCTGAGTAGCTAAATCTTTAACAACAACAACATCCTCTACAACTCTGTATACACCTTCCCTCCTCCTTCCTCAGTTCAGTCTACCATAAGATAGATAAGCCGCCCATACAAAACTTCCTCTCCAACCCTAGACCAGCCTGCCATACAATCCTTTCTGCCCCTCTATTCCCCTCACACATGCTTCCCATACAATCCTCTCTTCCCCCTCCATCCCTAGACCCAGCTTCTGTGGCAGGTGAGAAAAACTCGGCCGTTAACCTCGCCTATCATTCGTCGTATCGCTCATTATCCCTTACATCCCCAATTTTTCCCCATTCCAGTGCCTCAACTTCAGCTCATCTGAGGTCCCCCCATGTCCCTCCAACATCACCAACCCCCATTCCCCCAAGATTTCCCCTCAAAGCTCAATGATGCCACCTCACACTACCCCACATCCTCTTCCACAAGATTCCCCTCAGGCTCTGAGATGTAACTAGTTAAGTTTCCCTGCGGGACGAATTACAAAAACCTGCTAACTGCCGACTTTGAGGCGCCCTTGATACTGGCTGCTTCAATACGCTCTTCCTTGTTTCAATAACAGTGATTACCTCGTAAATTCCACCGAGTAAGCGGGCGTCTTTGTGTTCCAAACGTCACTCGCTTCCTCGGGTATTTGTTGGTATTAAATATACAGGACAATAAGTGCTTTTAAGTGCGGCGGAAAGTGGACAGATTTAGTGCCGGGTCATTATCAATGTATTCTAATTAGAGAGGAATAATGCCTTGCATAAAATAGTAAAAAAATTATATTAATTGATGGCGGTTTAATTATTTAGTGTTGTTAAATTAAGGATCACGATTCTATGATGTTACTGATGTTAAGACAGCTCGGTAATGGTAGGTAGCGACGATACCTGAAGGCCAGGTATCCTATGAGACGGCTACGTGCCCACATATTTCATCTCAAGAGTAACATTACTCCGTAATGTCGGCCGCTGCAAATATATAACCCCAATCATGTAACATTACTGCTATTATTGAGGACCCACCACCATCTTGAGTGTCACTCGTTGATATTTCAGACGCAAAAAACTAGAAAGTTCAATTTGGAAGTTATGTTAAATTTTGATAGACTATCAGGCGAATTCTCGGAGCAGCTGAGTTGCGCCTCCACCCTCTTTTTTTATTTCTTTGCAACCTCAAGGTCTTCTTTTTGTCGCGACGCTCGGTAAGACTCTGGACATGTCACAGCCAAGGCCCTCGGGCGGTACACCGTGGAGGTCTTTGGACATGTCACAGCGAAGGCCCTCGGGCGGTACACCGTGGAGGTCTTTGGACATGTCACAGCGAAGGCCCTCGGGCGGTACACCGTGGAGGTCTTTGGACATGTCACAGCGAAGGCCCTCGGGCGGTACACCGTGGAGGTCTTTGGACATGTCACAGCCAAGGCCCTCGGGCGGTACACCGTGGAGGTCTTTGGACATGTCACAGCGAAGGTCCTCGGGCGGTACACCGTGGAGGTCTTTGGACATGTCACAGCCAAGGCCCTCGGGC